CTTGCAGCAACACCAGAGGCACTCCAAGGGCCCAGATACTGGTCAAAGGACATTTAATCAGCTACCAAGTTTGCAAAATTTGTGTTTCCTTTTTTTTATCTGTTTGTTTGTTTTGTTCTGTTAGAAATGTAATACAATGTTCTGGTTGCGGATGACATGATAAATAAATTATTATTATTATTATTATTATTATTATTATTATTAATCCGTTGTGCCCCTGCACCTCCTCTATGCCTTTCTATGACTCCTCGACTGCCTTGGTTGACCCTGTCCTAACCCTCTTCTTGGGGTCCTCTTTGTGTATTGAGTGGCCGGATGGGGAAGGGGACCAGTGCCGCCTTCCAACCTTGTTGTCCCTTTCTCCAGAATGGCTCTGCGCGGCGTGCGGTGGCCACCCAGCCGGGCCGGAAGCGCAAGTCCAACTGCTTGGGCACCGACGAGGTAAGCAAGCCGGGCTTGGGCCTGCGGAGGTGGTGGTGGTGGTGGTGGTGGTGGTGTTGGGCTGGCATCGCTTTGAGACACCAGCATGCGAGACAGAATCTACGGCTTTCTCCCCGTTCATCCAGAATATCCCTCCTGGTTCTTGCGAGCAGGACTCCCAGGACAGCTTGGACGGCATCCCCTCGGCCCCCCGCATGACCGGCAGCCTGGTCTCAGACCGCAGCCACGACGACATCATCACCCGCATGAAGAACATCGAGTGCATCGAGCTCGGGCGGCATCGCCTGAAGCCGTGGTACTTCTCCCCCTACCCGCAGGAGCTCACCACCCTCCCCATCCTCTACCTCTGCGAGTTTTGCCTTAAGTACGTCAAGAGCCTCAAATGTCTCCAGAGGCACCTGGTAAGCACTTCTCGGTTGCACTAACCCATCGTTCGGTTTATCAGGTGTTAACTCTCACCAACTCCCACCATTCCTAACATCTCATCTGAAGGTGATTGATAGTAATTAATAGGACCATCTCATCTGAATGTGATTATGATCATCATCTATATATATTAAAAGGGAAAGGGCGTTCAAAGGGACAGCAAAACGCAAAAACCCCCCGACGAAAACTCACCAAATTTGCCGTGCAAATACCTCAACCCACAAGGTATGCACAACACTCATCAAAATTCCAAACAACATTTCAACAAACACACAATTACAAAAACCAACTGAGCATGCGCAGTGCCCAGGGGCGGAAGTACACACGCAATGCACTCTGGGAACTGTAGTTCTAGAACGCGGCCTACCC